CCACGCCGTTGATGCTTGCCGTTTGATTTGAAGTCGTTGCCAAAGAAGTGTCTGTACTTGTCTCCAATGTATGAGTTGCACCAACCGCTTGAATCGTATTTGGTTTTGATTCTTCAACACTTGCTTCATCAACTGTTATTGTATCTATTTCGTTGTATGTTTGCTTTGTTGTTTGCGTTGTAGATTATTTTCTATTCACACTTTTGCACATTTGGTGAGTGGTGAGAGAGAGAGAGAGAGAGCACTTTCAGCGACTCATCTGCAACTTGAAAATATGTGTGTGTGTGTGTGTGTGTGGCCGTTGTCTGGCAATGGTGGAGAGTAGTGCATGCAGGACCTAAAAGTAGTTACCTCTGTTCCTATGGTTGCAAGGGCTTGGTTTATCCACCCCTACATCCAGTCTCTCTTTCCGAACTTGGATTGTTGCCGTGCGCCTAAGAAAAACGAACTTGCACAATAACAGTTTTTCGCTTTCTGAAAAAAAAAAGTAAAAAAAAGAAAAGTTTTTCCCTTTCTGGCTGGCGTTGCCAGCCATTCTTGTCCAGTCTGCTGAGCTCCTGTGAATGCAAAAAGGGTAAACGGTCGTGCTGAGAACAGTGAGATATGGGAGATGTTCTGGCGGTACCTTGCCCATAACTATTGGAGGAGGCTGGAATCACGATAAAGGTCTTTGACAAAATTTGTCGGTGAAAAAAAAAGAAAAAAAAAAGAAAAAAGAAAAAAATTATCGGTGGCTTGGCTATGAAAGTTGCGACCCTCAAGGAGCCCCATCTCTGAAAAATAGTTAGGAAACGTTCCAATGGTGTAAATCACCACCCACACCCATTTCTTGTTGCCTGCGGCTCGGTATACTGTGAGGTTTGAGAGTTTGCGGCAACAGCGCTGAGGGTGAACATGCTACCTCTTCTCTTGTGGTCCCATGGCTGTGCTGGTCTCTGCTGGGTAACGGTCCGAGATCCTAGTTGATTTTTTTTATTTTTTTTTTACTTGAGCACCTGGATTCGATGGACCAGATGGAACGGTGGCCGGGTCCTGGTCCAAAGAAGTACCGCCCACAATCTCTTGGCCCCCCGTACCTCAGGGCAGGCTCGCACACCTGTCAGACCCTTTGGTTCCAAGGGCTTGTTTCGTCCACCCGTACGTCCAGTGTCTCTTTTCGAATCTGGATTGCTGCCTTGCGCCTAAGAAAAACGAACTTTCACAATAACAGTTTTTCGCTTTCTGGAAAAAAAAAGTAAAAAAAAAAGTTTTTCCCTTTCTGGTTGGCGTTGCCAGCCATTCTTGTCCAGTCTGTTGAGCTCCTGTGAATGCAAAAGGGGTAGACGGTCGTGCTGAGAAGACTGAGATATTGGAGATGTTGTGGCAGTACCTTGCCCATAACTCTTGGAGGAGGCTGGAATCACGATAAAGGCCTTTGACAAAATTTGTTGGTGTAAAAAAAAAAAAAAAAAAAAAAAATTGTCGGTGGCTTGGCTGTGGAAGTTGCGACCCTCAAGAAGCCCCATCTCTGAAAAATAGCTAGCAATGGTTGCAGTGGTGTAAATCACAACCCACATCCATTTCTTGTTGCATGTGGCTCAGTATACTGTAAGGTTTGAGAGTTTGCGACAGCAGCGCTGGGGGTGAACATGCTACCTCTTCTCTTGTGGTCCCCCGATGGACCAGATGGAACAGTGGCAGCGTCCTGGTCCAAAGAAGTTCCGCCCACAATTTGCGGCCCCCCGTATCTCAGGGCAGACTCGCACTCCTGTCACGGCAGAGGTAAAACTTGAAAGTTTCCTCTGTGACGTCGAGACTATCCAGGCCTGAATGCATCCGACCGTACTCACGTCCAGGTGGTGTTGCTGTGAGTATGCCAAAAGTGGATTCTGCTGGAGGATTCTGCTGTGACATTTGCAGTCTTCATTTCAAAGCAGTACAAGAAGTTGGTTCCCGCGGATGACATTTTGCAGCTGTTTCGGAAAAGCATGAATGATGAGGTGTATGAATGATATTTGCAGCATGTTGTGATGCTCGAGGGAAGCATGAATGGGCATCTGCACACCGATTTTGGAATAATGCTAGCAGTTGAGGCTTTGCAGGAATCCAGAAGGGCAGAAGACGTATGAGCTGTTTTTGCGCTACCAATCATGACTACGGTTTGCCCTTTCAATTTGTGACGTGTATACACACACACACACAGAGGAAGCAGGGGGTGGGTTCATCTAGATTCTGAGTAAAAAATAGAGAGACGGCAATTGGGGTAGTGCATCTGGGGTGTGCATACGTGTATATTTATATTGACAAAGAACTTTATTTCAACGGAGTTTCATTGACTCATCAAGAGGCTATATACATATGTATGTGTGTGTGTGTGTGTGTGTCTGTGTGTGACAGAGAGAGAGAGAAAGAGAGAGAGAGACAAACAGAGAGAGAGAGAGAGAGAGAGAGAGAGAGAGAGAGAGATCGTCTTACACTACGGCAGTAGTCATTTGACTGTGAATGTGCCATTGTCTATGGGCACGGAGCAATCCATTTCTGTGCTGTTTTTTTTTTTTTCCCTTTTCTCAAAACTGTTTGTATATTTTCGATTTCACACCTTCCTACCTGTCTGCCTTTCCACCTCCTCGTCCTCCTACCCCTCCACCTCCTCCTCTATAGCACACTCTCTTACCTGTTATGTCATATTATTGAGCCAAAACGCAGAAGGTGAAAAAAAAAAAAAAAAAAAAAAAAGGCTACAAAAGGAAAACGCAAATTCTTTTCTGTTCACACTTTTGCACATTTGGTGAGTGGTGAGAGAGAGAGAGAAAGAGAGAGAGAGGAGGAGGAGGAGGAGGAGGGGAAGAGATACGGGCAACTGAGGACAAAAGACCGACAAACAGTTTTAAATTAGGGAGGGGAACAAAAACGGGTCGATTACATAACGGTCGTTAAAGTCTGCTCCTTCAATTTCTTTCTTTAGTTTATTTTATTTATTTTTTTTCGTTTATTGAGTCTTCAACTAGAGAAAGGAAAATTGTTGTCTTGCGCCTAAGAAAAACGAACTTGCACAATAACAGTTTTTCGCTTTCTGGAAAAAAAAAAGTAAAAAAAAGAAAAGGTTTTTTCCTTTCTGGCTGGCGTTGCCAGCCAAAAATGGGTAGACGGTCGTGCTGAGAAGACTGAGATATGGGAGATGTCGGTGGCTTGGCTGTGAAAGTTGCGACCCTCAAGGAGCCCCATCTCTGAAAAATAGCTAGGAAACGTTCCAGTGATGTAAATCACCACCCACACCCATTTCTTGTTGTCTGCGGCTCGGTATACTGTGAGGTTTAAGAGTTTGCGGCAACAGCGCCGGGGGTGAACATGCTACCTCTTCTCTTGTGGTCCCATGGCTGTGCCGGTCTCTGCTGGGTAATGGTCCAAGACCCTGGTTGATTTTTTTTTTTTTTTTTTTCACTTGAGCACCTGGATTCGATGGACCAGATGGAACAGTGGCCGGGTCAATTTGTCGGTGGCTTGCCTGTGAAAGTTGTATTAACTACAGGTGGCGTACTTGAGCACGTAGATCCGATGGACCAGATGGAGCAGTGGCTGGATCCTGCTCCAAAGAAGTTCCGCCCACAATCTCGCGGCCCCCCGTACCTCAGGGCAGACTCGCACTCCTGTCACAGCAGAGGTAAAACTTGAAAGTTTCCTCCGTGACGTCGAGACTGTCCAGGCCTTAATGCATCCGACCGTACTCACGTCCAGGTGGTGTTGCTGTGAGTATGCCAAAAGTGGATTCTGCTGCAGGATCCTCCTGTGGCATTTGCAGTCTTCATTTCAAAGCAGCATAAGAAGTTGCTTCCTGCAGATGACATTTTGCAGCTGCTTCGGAAAAGCATGAATGATGAGGTGAAAAAAAAAAAAAAAAAAAAAAAAAAAAAAATCGTCGGTGGCTTGGCTGTGAAAGTTGCGACCCTCAAGGAGCCCCATCTCTGAAAAATAGCTAGCAAAGGTTCCTGTGGTGTAAATCATAACCCACATCTATTTTTTGTTGCCTACGGCTCGGTATACTGTGAGGTTTGAGAGTTTATGGCAGCAGCGCTGGGGGTGAACATGCTACCTCTTCTCCTGTGGTCCCATAGCTGTGCTGGTCTCTGCTGGGTAATGGTCCCAGATCCTGGTTGAATTCTTTTTTTTTTTCTTTTTTTACTTTAGCACCTGGATCCGATGGACCAGATGGAACAGTGGCCAGGTCCTGGTCCAAAGAAGTTCTGCCCACAATCTCGCGGCCCCCCGTACCTCAGGGCAGACTCGCACTCCTGTCTGGCCCTTTGGTTCCAAGGGTTTGGTTTGTCCACCCGTACGTCCAGTCTCTCTTTTCAAACCTGGATTGTTGTCGTGCGCCTAAGAAAAACGAACTTGCACAATAACAGTTTTTCGCTTTCTGAAGAAAAAAAGTAAAAAAAGGAAAAGTTTTTCCATTTCTGGCTGGGATTGCCATCCATTCTTCTCCAGTCTGCTGAGCTCATGTCAATGTAAAAGGGGTAGACGGCCGTGCTGAGAAGACTGAGATATGAGAGATGTTTTGGCGGTACCTTGCCCATAACTCTTGGAGGAGGCTGAGAGAGAGAGAGAAAAAAAAAAAAAAAAAAAAAAAAAAAAAAAAAAAAAAAAAAAAAAAAAA